CCCCCCCCCCTGGAGGGTGCACCGTCACGCAGCAATTAAAATATGTGGGGGCATGGCAGTTCTTTGTGCCTATGTACTAAATGACCCATGAAAACTAATTTATTTACGTAGTCAAAGGAAACAATATTCAAAATAAAAAAAAATGGCGTAGAAAATGTGCCGTGGGAATAGAATTGCTTTGCATAACAGCTATTGTTGGAATATTTCCAATGAAATTATTGTTATTAATTGCGCATTTCGATACATCACTAATTTTATTTATAAATCCGGGAGACATAAATAGAAATAATCATTAAGAATTAGGTTGTCACATGTGACAACAATCCCATAGGTCAGCTGCCTTCATTACACAGATTCTCTGTCATCGAATCACTCAACGCTCTGTCTCAGTTACTGACAGCGTCGTTAAATAAGTCAGAAACAGATAAATGCTGTGGAATGTAGACCCGTTGCTAAGCGATGACTCTGTAAACTGCGGCCGTTAGTAGGTAACATACAAACACGCAACAATATAAAAATTGTGTTTTCTCTGTGGCCTGCGCCGCGACAGTTGTTATGCAACGGCGTCCTAAACACGACTCTACAACAACAGAGGGGCCCTGTTATTTCTGTGGTCCTTACCGAGGAATTATCTTGAAGAAAACTGACTCTGCAAGTCAGTTGGAAGTCAACCTGTGAACAGAGAAAAAGGAGGTTGGTGCGAAATGGCCGCTAGCATTGGACCCAGTTCAGTTGATGTGAATTCTGTATGGGACTTGAGCACGGAAACAGAGGAATAGCCATTGCTAACATCCATTACCAAGCAACGGCTAGTGAAGACTGTAACGGGCTGAGAAGACATAGTGTATCATATAGTGAATGATCTGTGAAGTGTACTGACGAGTTGCATAAGTGTACAATAAATCCGGCCATTAATCCGAAACCCGTCTATAGTCACACCCCTAAATCATGACAAAATATACCATTCGCGACAGTCTCTTGAAGCCATCTCATATACAAAGCTATGAGTATTAGTACTTAAACTTCACTGAGTATATGAATACAAATAAACTTCATACATATGTTACTCAGGTGCTTCAGACGATTTCACAGTTGCATGCAAAAATTGAGAAAAATGCATCAAACAATGACATGCCGATATTACGTCAGTACCAGCAACTGACAGCGATTCAGTCGTAGCTTCACATGAACTGCAAACTAACTTAACTGTAATCCACAAACAAAAACAAAACAAACTCCGTGGTTTCAGTTCGCAAGCGAACTATACCGACCCAGAGACTGCCGCTTGTTGGCGAAGTTAGTGCCGAATTTAGCGGATAGAGGGTGCTGCGGGGTCAGCGCAACGGATCCCCACGGCCGTTAATTTCGATTTTATAGACGGGAGCCACTATTTCCTTGAAATAGCTCCTTAATTATCCTCACGAGTCTGAGTGGACGCCGTTCCAGACCCACTACTTCTCAGAAAATCTGACAGCGCTGGAAATCGAACCGGGACCTCTGGATCTGTAGGCAGGAACTCTGACCAGTAGACCACAGACGCGGTCAACTGGTTACAAAGTGGTTGTGGAACCTTGGTTCCCAGGTTTAACGACGAAAACTGTATTAAATTAGGAACTTTATTGGAATAAATGTACTTTGTACATTGAAACTGAAACTTTATTAAAACATTACTATATGTACACTACATTACTTACTGAAATTACCCAAAGCGTTTAGTCTGTAGTTACGTCAGAGATTGGTTGTGCTCAAGATAGGTCTATATCATGGATAAAGTACAATCCATAGGGTTGTGAGATGTTGATGTTCCCACATTTTCCAGGCAATCTGCTCATAGATGGCGGCAGGTTATTAGCCCTACGCGCCGGCCGCCCTTTACCCCCAAGAATATCCCTGGTACTCATTTCTGTTAGAGGCTGAGTCGATCCAGGGCCATAGTGCGGCTGGAAGGATTAGGTTAATTGAAGAACATCCAATGACCTCATCGGGGCTTGAACTCGCTACCTTCCGACTTGTAGCATAGTGCCTCAACCAACTATGCTACAGCGTCCCCCAGTAACGTTTCCATAGTTACATAAATTTACTTTCTGCTGTAATACTAGTAACGTTTTATAGTTAAATGAATTTACGTTCTGCTACAACAATTCACTAAGCAGATTCTCTTACCATGACAAATTCTGTGAAATGTTACCCTGAAATTTCAAGGCTTCAACCATTTGTACCTTCGTATAATAATGTTTTCAACGTTAAAATGGAGAATAGAAGCCGGTGAATCCAGATTTGTCTATGTAATATTTACCACACGTACAGAAACGTGCCCTCCGGTCCATATAAATAACGTACAACTCCCTCAAAAAGAAATCAAGTTTCTTGGGCTGCATCTTGACAGGAGACTCACCTGGCGTAAGTACATTAACTTAATATGGAAACAACTGGATATCACACTCAACAAAACGTACTTGTTACTTGGACATAAATCCAAACTCTCCATGAACAACAAACTCATAATACACAAAACAATAATCAAGCCAATCTGGACTTACGGAATCCCTCCTTGGAGCACGGCTTACAATTCTAACATTGAAATACTGGAACCTTTCTAATAGAAAGCCTTACGCATAATAATTAATGCCCCATGAATCGTACTGGATGTGGTTTTGGCAAGGGGTCTTCAGACGCCAACAGTTAAAGAGGAAATCAGTCGTTTCAGCTCACAATATGGCGCTCTTCTAAATGCACACCCAAGCAATTTAGCTGGGAAGCTTATGACTCAACCCGACGACAGCAGGTGACTATGAAGACACTTGCCACACGATCTGCCCACCAGCTTTTGAGTGTTTATTATAATCATAGATTTTAGTCTAAAAGATAAAACAGTTCCGGCCAGTGTGACTGGTTAAGATTTTTCTTATCTCAGTTCTTCATGCCCTTATATGTTTCGGTCCTTAGAGGCCATCATCAGAGGGACATCAATACAGTTTGAAAACTACAATGGCTGTTCTGAGCGTTAAAATATACATATATATACATACAATGCTGACAATTCACAAATGGATACAAAATCCAAAGTTTTCACAACTACAGCCGCTATATATGTAGTTTGACGTGGTTCCTGCTGACCGTATAAAGCTTGTTGCGGAGTGTGCTGTTCACATGCTGGTGCCTCTATCTTGTTGCGGAGTGTGCTGTTCACATGCTGGTGCCTCTATCTTGTTGCGGAGTGTGCTGTTCACGTGCTGGTGCCTCTCTCATTCGGTCGTGACTCATGTTTATTTTTCCGAGCCGTTTGTCCGCTGGTCACTCTCCTTATGCCTTTCGTGTGTTAGTCTTCTGTACGGAAGTATGTGCATATAAACTGTGCACAGAAATAGTTCCTTATTGCTCACTATTAGTTTTGCGGATTTTCTAAACTTGCGACAAGCTCGTTTCTGTATTTTCAATACAAAACCTATATCATAGTAACACAACAGCTAGCCAATTGCTTTGGTTGCTGCGTATTAACTAGACGTTACCTGGTAACGAATTTTAACAGTGAAAGTTCACCAGCTTCTGCGTTCACATTTTTGTTATCAATAATACAATCAAGTAACTTCAAATGTTTAAGTACTAACTACGTAGATATAAAAACATAGACGTTCATAATCACAAAGGACCAATAATCTATGCCCATGCGTACACACCATATATATATATATATATATACTGTTGTGTATATACACGTTGCTAGGCAAAGACAACAAACCAAACAACGAGACAATAGCCATTGCCAGGCAGCAGTCAACTCGACAATGGAGTAGCGATCACATGGAAACCCCAACAGACACGCTCCGTTACCAGGAGACGACTAGTGAAAATATCAAACTTGCAAGACTTGGAGAAGTGTGTTCTAGTTATTTGTAGATGGTGCAAGAGCAGTAAAGTGCTGTGAATATTTGTAAGCTTTCAGTGTATACTGTGAGTCTAGTCATTAACACTTGACAATATAAATTGCTTATTTTGCAAACAAGAGAACATAAATTCGTATTATGGCGGACAATAAAGAAAAAATAAGTGGTATTAGCAGTGTTCGCAGAATCATCTATCTGCTTGTATTGTTTAGCATGGTGGCAGGACCGGTAGGTGTAATGCTTGTGTCTCTCTGTAGGTATAGTACAAGAGACTTAGGAATAGAAGTTGATGCACTTAGGCAAGAAGTAGATGTTCTCAAAAGACTCTCTAAGGGAATACGTATCTTAAAGGAAGAACTTAAGGAGAATCTCCCACGTCTATTAGAAGGCATGGATACAGGAGTCTGCAGCTCAAGTGAAATACTCAGCAACTTGAATGATGCTTCAAGGAAGATTTTGAAAGACCCAACAGAGTTTTATGATACTACTAAGACAGGCCAAATAGACTTTGCCTTGAAAAGTTTAGGTGGTTCTATAGCATCTACACGCGATACCAAGGACTATAATCCATCACAGCTTGAAACTTTGTATCATCCAGCAGAGCAAATCCTTCAGCCTTGTGTCATGCCTGGTGAGTGCTGGGCATTCGAAGGATCAGGTGCTGTTGTGATTCGACTAATTGGTAAGGTCAGCATTAGGGCAGTGTCTATGGAGCATGTTTCACGTGACACGTTGGCCGCAGGCTTAAGAAAAAGCGCACCAAAAGATTTCTCTGTATGGGGATTGGATAGTCTTCATGAAGAAGGACACTTCCTTGGAAACTTCACCTATGATATTGATGGCAGCCCTCTACAGTACTTTCCAGTTCAGGAAGCATTGGCAAAATCATTTCCTTTAATTGAGCTCAAGATTCACACAAATCACGGAAACCCGGTGTACACATGCCTTTATCGCTTCAGAGTACACGGAACTATGGATCATTACGGACGTCATCAAACTGAAGGACAGTAACAACTGCGTTATGCATAAAAGCTACAAGCCTGTCGTAAAATAGTGGCAAATGTAATGTCTGTAGTACAACAGAATTTCTGGAACACTGAAATACTCATATATTGTGACATAGCAACCGAAAAAGTGGAAAAGTGCAGCCAGAAGAGATTGTCGTTGCTAGGTAATGGTAGATAGACACTTCTCCACGGCAATGAACACATGACGCTCGCTAAAGAATTGCTTGATACATAATTTGGAGAGGAGAAGAGTGCCGTTGAAGAAACGAAACTAGCAGAAAGACCCTTTCCTTACATTAAAATAGAAGCCTCGTCAGTAGCGGCCACAGAACTAGGAACTGGAGACGAATACATCAGTACAAGGTCGGAGCCATTGATGTAGCAGGGCCCTTCCCATGGAGCGAAACTTGTACTATTTAACCAAGGGGCCAGAAGCCTACGTCATTCCGAATCAAGAGGCTTCGACAGTGGCGGAAGCCCTTGTTGCCGACTTGTGCCGCTTCGAAGTACCGCGGGAGCTGCATAGTGACCAGGACCGTAATTCATCTGATACGGGAAGTTTCGTAACGCCTGGGAGTGTGCAAGATGCGCACTACACCCCTGCACCCCGCAGTCGGACGTAATGTGCGAACGCCGCATCGAATTGGTCGACGAGCACCAGGACTGGCACGCAAGATTACCTATCTTCCTCCTGGCCTACGAGGCCTGCGGGCCTGACAGCAGGTAGCCTAGTGTTCGGGAGAGAACTACGACTGCCTTGCGACATGCTGTTTGTGTGGGAACGGCCTCTGATCTATCACGCGTCATGGACACAACTTTCCAAAGTTTGCCCGTATTTTACTCCACGCTTGAACACGGATCTTAATTTTTATTTTTGCTTTAATGTTTTGTCACTTTCCTGTTTCAGATTTGTATTTACTCGTATATTTCAAACTTTAGAGTCTAACTGTGCCGTAGTTATTCAAATGGGCAATATATCAAATATAAAACTTGTGAACAAGGGACCCATGTTCAGTAAGATATATGCCATGGCAATTTATTCATTTAATTCAAGCATTATACCACCTGAGAATGACCGAACAGTACGGTCGAAGCTTGTAGTGAATTAAAATCAAACATGTTAGAAACTAAATAGCTGTGGTCATGGTCTTGTATATATATGGTATTCTTTAAATAAACAACAGTACGCAAAAATCTAAAGGTATTTTGGAATCCGATTGTGTTGGTACCACTGCCAATGCATTACCCAACTCTGTTTGTATCGAATTGCTATCGTATATGCGTGCAACACATCGGGATAACTCAGTCGGTGTAGCGACGGGCTATGGGACAGATGGTCTGGGTTCGATTCCCACAGCGTCCAGACCGACTCTGAGGCCCGNGGAGTAAAGAGGCAGGGGCGTGAAGCTGACCACTCACTTCCATCTAGTTCTATACGTCTTCATGGAATAGTGCTTAACTAATTTTCACTTTTTTTCTACATCTCTCTTTTCGGATGAACAGTTTGTTTCACGACTGACTCAGCAATTTGGTTCAGTCGATAACCTTGCCCGCATGTAAGTGGGGGGTGCTCGATATGAATCTCTGTCGGTACACCGATGATTCTGACTTCCATTTCACTAGACTTAGCATTTCATACGACACGGGCCTCATAGAGAACGTCGCAACCATCTGTTCTTCTGTGTTGCCTGTGTATTCGTTCGCCTGGGAACGTGATCACGGAGCTGTTGCCAAGCAACGTTAGGACACATACACACAGAAAATTTATCTCGTAATATTATATTTCAGCATCCTGTTACTCAATATATATGGATAAATACCGTCTTAAGTGCAACAAATTTTATTGTAGTTTTTACTCCTTTTCCTCCTCCACACTACATGTGGACACACAGCGACACACACAGAGAGCGCCTACACTGAACAACACATGAACAACGATAAAAACAAGAAGTGGCCGCTGCAGCACCGTAGATATAGGGCATGTACCCTGAAAAAATGTTAACTATAAAAATTTGAAAAAGAAAGAACAGAGATCTTATAGACATTTTAACTTGAATTAAGTTTTAAAAAGTGCTAATTTAAAAATCAAATCGACGCGTGTAGATTAACAAAGATTTTATACAATTAGAAAGACTGGTAATTTTAAATTTTAACAAGCAGTGTAACAGCTACGTGAGTGATACACACCTGATGATGGCCATTTAGGGCCGAAACATGTAGTGTGGAGGAGGAAAAGGAGTAAAAACTACAATAAAATTTGTTGCACTTAAGACGGTATTTATCCATATATATTATCTCGTAAGTCCAATTCTATTTATTTTTGTTCAAAATGAGGAAAGTGGGCTAAAAATGTGCTACTTTTTAGAGTACCATGCATACAGAACATATGGTACGCCACTGCAGGACCTGTACAAACAATAGTCTCCATATGATGGCATTATATTGATACGTCGCGACGTCTGCCCAGTCCTTGCCTAAAAACAGAGGTTAAGACGAGAGGTTAGCCGGACGGATTTCGCATGCAAGCCGACACGTGTGCCCAATTCAATCGTAGGTTATGAAGAAGAACAAAGACAGAAAAAGAAGCACATAGGGTCGACTGTCATCATAACTAGTACAGTGCTGCGCATAAACCAGCGGCTCTTTCAGCTCCCCGAATTTATCTAAATATTGATTTCAGTAATGTAAGAAATAAAAAATATACCTTTCATTGGGTTATTCTTTACTTCCCATTTCGCTGCAAGTCTTCGAAGCATCAAGCATCTATGAATATAAATTTTATAAATCAATTTCCGCTTCACAGTAAAGACACCGCATCTCCATTATAAAGAACAAAAATCCCTTCGGGTAATGCTTGCTACCCTTCAGTCCAGAACCTTTTGTCTTCTTGTCTACTGTCTAAAAGCATAAAAATCAGAATATACGAACTGTAATTTTCCCTATAGTTCTGTATGAGCGTGAAACTGGATCTCTGACATTAAGGGAGGAACACTGACTGAGGGTGCTGAGGAGAATATTTGGACCGAAGAGGGATGAAGTGGCGGGAGGTAGCAGAAAACAGCATAATGAGGAGCTCCATAACTTGTACTCCTCTTCAAACATAATTACAATGACCAAGTCAAGGAGGATGAGGTGGGCAGGGCATGTAGCACGAATGGGTGAGAAGAAGACTGTATATATGATATTGGCGGGAAATCCGGAAGGAAGTAGACCACTAGGAAGACCATGACGTAGGTGGGTGGGTAATATTAAAATGGATCTTGAAGAGATAGGATGGGGTGGTGTGGTTTGGATTGATCTGGCTCTGGATAGGGTCGAGTCGTCGGCTCTTATGAACGGGATAATAAACCTCTGGGTTCCACAAAATGTTGGGAACTTCTTGAGTAGCTGCGCACATGGCGGCTTCTGAAGAAGGGCTCAGCTCTGTGGAGTTAGTTCGGCCAGCAATTCCGTTTATTGTGAGTCTCATAGGGAGCTTGAGAGAATCTGTGGCAAAAATGCACAGATACGGGGCTGAATACATGTATCAACCATTGACCTTTAAAGGAACGGTTAGCCTTTCTTGAGAAGCTGATAGCCACTCAACTGGTCAAGAAAATCCACGCCTTCTGCACATCCACGATGTTCTGTGTTCTGCTCACGAAACATCAGTATCCAGAGTCAGTTTAATTCAGCTCGCACCCTCCAACTTTAACATCCACCAAATATTATTCTTCCAGACAGCTCAGTCAGATGGCCCGGGTTCGATTCTCGTCAGTGCAAGATTTTTCTCTTCTCCACAATGTCCAGTTCGATTATTTAAAGGGTACCAGGGGCTCTTTCTTGCGGGGAAAAGCAGCCGGAGAGCGAAGCTGACCATTCACTTTCATCTACTGTTGCGATCAAGGACCCTGGAGGTGCACCTCTGCTTCCCCATACGTCTTAATGGTATGATACTTAACTAATTAGGCATCGGGACAGGTTTAATTTAGTAGTTTACTACATCTATAATTTAGTAATGGTTCCCGGCTAAAATGTTTCATGTGTTTCTTACCTTCAGCGCTCCTCCCAAGTCATTCATCCATTCAGTATCTTTCTTATTTTATCGCTCTAATAAGGACATTATTTCGTGGACGAATGTACCCATTGCTAGGCAACGGCTTCACCAATTGGAAATCTACTGCTAGATAACAGACCAGTCAACACGCCTCCTCAACAGTAGAGAGACTGTGTTTCCGTGGGGTCGAAACCTCCACCGTGACCCTGCGAGTCGTAGGAGGCGATGAAAGAGAAGTCTCAAATCTGAGACAGTAAAATATGGTAGCGAGACCCAAGGCACTCGGACCCGAGAAAGACTGCGCTGACAAGGCCAGCAGCATATACGAGTACAAAAGACAGACCCGTCTTCTCTTCAGAGAGGGCGCCGCAGGAAAACAAGTCCGTAACTGTCAAACGGTGATGAAAATCTAGTCATGAGCCCCACATGAGGCTCGAAACCAACGCTTACTGACTGAATGACCGTCAGTCGCAACATGACTTTGACTTTGACAATTCATGCCTTAGACCGGCCGGCCACTGTGATAGGCCTTTGATGAGTCGACATCCTGAAATTAAATTTCGGTACAACGAAGCCACTTAAAGACCATACAAACTGAATGGAAGAGGAAATATTTCAGACATACAAGTGGAACATGTCTGCCCTTTACAGTGGCCACGCAGTCTAAGGCATGAGCCGTCTTCGTCTGCTCTGGCCCTGGGATCGTGGGTTCCAATCCCACTCGAGGTATGAATGTCTGTGTGCTTTTATTCTGTATTTGTGCTGTCCTGTTTGTGGGAGGTGGTCCTGCGACGGGCTGGTCCCCCGTCGTGGGGTCCTACCGACTGTGTATAGAGGAGGCCAAGGCCTAACAAAAGGGCTGTAGAGCCATAGATAGATGGATGGATGGGTAGAGCAGAACATGTCTACTTACTTGGAAAAGCAATCATATTACCTGTAAACATTTAAGAGCCTTTGACTGATTGATT